AAAAGTAATTGAACAAACAGCTTATGAATGTCAGCTTATGTTGATCTCTCTTTCAAATTAATCAACTTAAGATCGCTTAAAAGTAATCATTCTGCACCACAAGTCCAATCTGTACTTTTCTCAATATTTTATTTACTTCGACGACTCTCTAATTTAAAAGATGAACTCGATTAAATGGAGAAAGATAAGTAAATATATATCGGTTGGTACGATATAGATTATCAGATGTGTTTGAGAGGTCTAATTGGGCAAGAAAAATGAAGAACCTCAACCTTTGTATTTTTAGTGCCTTGGATTCTACATGGTCGGTTTCTAACCATAATGTTAAAGATACACTTGACTCGTAATTCATTTGTCTTTGAAGTGTAAAATAAATAAACGTAAATAATTAATATGTTGGTAATGTTCTTTCTTATCAAGGGCGAATGTGTGGACTCTTCCATAAGAAATAGACAATGGTCGCCTTGGGAGAGTGGATTTGTCATGGACAACTTTCTTGAAAATATAGTGGGTATTGACTCGAATTACATATCTGACACGCTTCCAACAAGTTTTTAAATTCTTGATACGCCTCATATTGTATATAGTTTCAAATACACAAATGGAAAACTAAGCAGTGCTTAGGTCGAATTATTGTATTGCGTTAACGAGATCTCAAACCTCTTGATCTTGCACGACAATGTTTAAGAGTATCTATCGATAGTCTTCTCTTGATTAGATTAATTTATCAGGCTAAAACTCTTATCTGATGTTGATCAACTAATTTAGTCTACGTTAATATATAACTTAACCGTCACATCAAGTCAATAATTATATTAGGTTATCCCAATAATTTGCTAACTCGATTGACCCTACTCGTTGGGGGTATGTCTTGTCATTTTAAACTTACAAACACAAATTATATGTTACTCCAAACAAAAATGTCCGAATTCATTACATGTCATTCATGTTCACATGGAGCCAAGGTGGTACATTTCTACCAATCTACCATCTCGAAGGTCAACTAGCAACGCTAAAGGCTATTTTAGTCCAAAGTTTTCTAAAAAGTTGTCTTGTTCGACCACCTGCGGCCACTTATTGTCTGAATTCGAGTTGACTCGAAAAATCATCAACTTGGAAATTCCAACTTTAAAATTATAAATTAATGAAGAATTTAATGGGATTCCCCTCTTTATTTCTCTGCTTCGAGGAGAAAAGGTACGTTGGAATCTTAAAAATCTCAGTCCTCTTTTTTTTTTTTTTTTTT